CCCCAAAACCCCAAAACCCCAAAACCCCAAAACCCCTTTTTATTAACTAAATTTTGAAAATGGATAAATTGGAGAGTCCCTCAGATGCGATTAGTTCTGTGTCTGGAGGCGAACTAAATAGCCAAGAGAGCATTGATAACCAGAATTTGAACGATAATCAAGGTAAGATTCATCTCTAAGTTTGTATTACATAATTTACATTGCCTTGAATGAATTCATAAGATTGCTGTATTCTTATTTTTATGATTCCCTCCATCGAATATTAAAATATTCCTAAGGATAGCTGCCAAAAAGAGGGAAATTATTTAACTTAACTCTTTGCGGTCTTTTCAAATATTAACAGAAGGATAGAACTCGAAGAAGAAAAGATTCCTGTAAGAATCAGGCCTAAAAGAGGTGAAGCCTCTTCTGTCGAAGACCCTTGCTCGGGTAGTCAAGAATCCAAAGGAATTAGCGTTGGCCATATCCAAATCAGTAATTCCGCATCAGAATATGCTGTCAGCTCATCAGAGGAAAGCTTCAGGAACATTAATGAGAAAGTAAGAAGACTTGAGAGATTGAAATAAAAACAGGGACCTTCTTCATCGTATTATCAACTACCACGAAGACGAAGATCCAGACTCTTGAGAAGAAGATGTGCAAGTTGCTCGAAGGAATAACCTCACCTTCGAAGCAAACCGTGTCTCAGCCAGATTTGGCTATAAAGAAGCAGACGAGGAGGAGAAGAAAGGACTCGAAGAAACCAAGGAGCCGGCAAGTAGTGGGAAATCTAACCTTAGCATGGTTCTTAAGGTCAGAAGCAAACTTAATGAGAATAGACGAAAGCGCAAAAGGAACCCAGACGGAGTTGAGGAAGAGTCTTATGAAGAATTTGTACGTAGGAAAACTATTGTTCCCAGTAAGTTCAAAAATTATAAATATTTTAGCCCAAAATGGTCTTGATTATGCAGCAATGAAGGACAGGATCACCAGACATCATCCTTATGCTGAAATCGGAGATAAGAAGGTCAAGTATCCGATATGCAAAACCCGGACTGGCTGGAGCAGTATATTTGAAAGATTAAGAATCACGGATTTGAAAGATCTTGGTGTAGGAGTTTCCCTCTATTTTAAATTTACAAAATATCTCATGGTTATCTACCTCCTCATGATATTCATTACCCTTCCAAATCTGATTTTCTACATACTTGGAGGAACCCAGGAGTTTGAAAATGGGACTTCAATTAAGACTCTGTTCGGGCTAACCACTCTGGGAAATCTTGGATCTGCAGAGACTATGTGAGACTCAACCAACAGCTTCAGCTCTGAGGTCTATTTATTTTGTCGGTCTGGGACGCTTGATAAAGTAGAAATTTTAGGGAAAATTCATCCTAAAGGATCTACCTGTCTCGACAATGGACAAAATTTAGCGGTGGATAGCACTTGTGATTACAGGGCGTTTGATCAAACCGATCAAGATACTGTAGATACTTCGTTTAGCAACCAATGTAAAGGTGCAAAGACATGAAATTTCAACCTTGCAGCTATAACTTTCCCTTCTTCATGCTCTGGAGAGCCATATATCAGAGTTGCTTGTAAATCTGAGGAAATTATAGGAATTCAGAAAAAGACAATGTCCTTAGTCCTGGTCATCCTTGACATTGTTGGAATCTACATCTTCTGGTTCTTCGTTCAAAGACACGGAAGTTTCGAATACTTAGAAGAAGAGATTTTCGGTTCAGACCTCACCGGTCGTGATTTCACCGTAATGATTAAAAACTTACCTGGAGACCAAGATCCACGAGTTTTAAAGTCCAAATTATGGTTATTTCTTGAGAACCTCTTGGCTGAGAACCCAGATCAGGTAATCCGACTTCAGGATGACCCAAATGCACACAAGTTGGTAGACATTAACTTTGGTATGAGCGACTTCGGGGTGATGCATTTCTACTTGAAAAGGACTCAATTCACCAAACAAGAGGCGGTCCTTAACGTAAAGATAAGCATTCTAATCGACACTGAGATGGAACCCAAGCCTAAGCAGAAGAAGATCAGAGCTTTGAGGAAATAAACTAGCCAAGGTGATAAAGGCAAAGGTTAAGAATGAAAGAGCTTATCAAAAATTTAAGGAGACTTATTCTCAACAAGTCGTTAAAGCATTCGTGACTTGTCAAAGCATGGAAGGCAAGCTATAAGACTGCTTAAGCTATATAATATTAATCGTACTGCAAGATGGTGCAAACCTGAGAGGTTTAAAGAGAAGGAATTTGAAGGGAAATTACTGGACATTAGACACCCGACTGATCCTTCGCTTATCTTATGGGAAAATTTAGGGGTTAGCATGAAACAGAGATGTCTCAGGATCTCCCTTATCGCCTTTGTCAGCTTCCTACTTATGATAGCTACCTTTATAATCATTGTTTTTAGTAGGAGTGTTGAGCATAGCTTGAGAGACGACTACGGATCAGGAAGTTGTCCTAAATTCGATATTGATCAAGAGGACGCACTCCAGGACCAGCTTAAAGAATCTAAAGAACGGTCAGGCCTGATGCACTGCTATTGTGTTCAGCAGTTTGATGATAAAGGCTATGATGTTCGTAATATAGAATTCTCAAATGGAAATCATTACTGTAATGACTGGGTTGTTAAATATAGCCTTAACAACGCTATGATATGGGGAGTAGTATTTATGATCTCACTCATCAATGTCTACCTTAAAGTAATTCTTAGAATCATCTCAGTCCACGAGAGACGTCATGACAAGACAGATTTGGTGATCTCTAATACCTTCAAGATGTTCTTCGTACAGTTTTTTAACACAGCAATTATCATTCTGATCGTGAATGCCAACATAAAATTTATGCCTTCATGGTCTCCGATCTTTAATGGTGAATACAAGGATTTCACAACTGACTGGTACAGGCAGATAGGTGTATCAATTATACTAACAATGCTGTTTGGAATATTCTCTCCCCACTTGGCAAACTCAATGTTTTGGATAGCAGGAGCCTTCTTCAGATGGAAAGATAGGTACTTTACATGCAATAAGAAAAGAACCAAACAGCTGTTTCAAGCGGATTATGAGCAGATGTATATGGGTCCAGAGCTCTTGTTTGAATATCGCTACTCCACCATGCTTACAACTGTTTATGTATCATTAATGTTCGGCACAGGGATGCCTATCTTATACTCTATTGCATTCTTTGCATTTTTCATGTCATATTGGGTGGACAAGTGGACACTATTGAGGATCTATCAGACTCCGCCAAGATATGACAAGGATCTTAACAAAACAGTGAGAGAATGGATAAATTTAGCTGTAATCTTACACTTTCTATTCAGCTTTTGGATGTTTAGTAACTCTATTATTTTCGGAACTCGCCAAGATACAATCTTTGGGATTAACATCAGATCAACCACAGAGGACATAGACGAGGATTACCCGTGGTTGCACATGGGAGATAGGGTTGCCCAATACCACGTAGTGATTTACTTGCTTGCTTTCGGAATGTTTATCATCATATTTATCCTTAAAAGCTTTGTGTTCAAGGCCATAAATAAAATCTATTCAACTTGAACCAGGAGCAAGACTGATCATCTGATAGGATTCTTTGAAGATGAGTCCAAAGTTTTCTCGAACAACTATTTCGAATGTCTACAAAAGAACGAGTATCAGAACCTCAGTAGGAATTTAAGACAAGATAAGCGCAGGTTGAAGAAATTCAAAGCCTCTTTGAACACCGAAGAAGGTAAAAATCGGGAAGATTTTTCTCAAGAAGACCGCGGGCATATTGATTGGCTTATCCAAAGACTCAGGACTAAGCGTAAAGATGCAGAGGTGGCCTACAAACATAAGGATGAAGACGGGACTAAGATCATTGATCCTTCCTATGATATCAGAGATTTGAAGCCGTATAAGTTCTATATTAACAAGCTGAAGAAGGATATGCTCAGCAAGTACGCTGAAGTAAGAAATGATTAAAATTTTAACTCAACTAGGATCTTGAAAATAGGGGTTTTGGGGTTTTGGGGTTTTGGGGGTTTGGGG